GGGCTGACAAAATGGGGTGCAAGTGTGTGAAAGGGTAACAGGGTGAGGGAGCAGTGTGGAGGAATGTGACAGTTTCGGGGGCAGTGGGTGTGATAGTGAGGAGGATGGTGACATTGTGGGGGGACAGGGTGTGTTACAGTGTGGGAGGGTAGTGAGGGTGGGAGGGCAGTGTTGGGGCAGTGAGGGTGAGGGTGGGAGGGCAGTGTTGGGGCAGTGAGGGCGGAGGGCAGCGCATGTGGGTGGGCAGTGAGGGTGGGAGGGCAGTGATGGGGAAGTGAGGGTGGGTGGGCAGTGAGGTGGGAGGGCAGGAGGGTGGGAGGTGATGGGGCAGGAGGGTGGGTGGGCAAATGATGGGGAAGGCGAGGGTGGGTGGGCAGTGATGGGGCATTGAGGGTGGGCACTGAGGGTGGCAGTGATGGGGCAATGAGGTTGGGTGGGCAGTGAGGGTGGGTGGGCAGTGAGTGGGAGGCAAGTGATGGGGGCAGTGAGGGTGGGTGGGCAGTGAGGGTGGAAGAGCAGTGATGGTGGGCAGTGATGGGGCAGTGAGGTGCGGTGTTGGGGCAGTGTGGTGGGCAGTGCTAAAGCAGGTATGTGGGTGGGCAGTGTTGGGGCAGCAGGGTGGGCAGTGAGGGTGGGGAGGGTAGTGTCAGGCAGTGAGGGTGGGAGGGCAGTGATGGGGCAGTGAGTGTGGGAGAGCAGTGAGGGTGGGAGGACAGTGATGGGGCAGTGAGGGTGGAAGGGCAGTGATGGGGCAGTGAGGGTGGGAGGGCAGTGATGGGGCAGTGAGGGTGGGCAGTGAGGGTGCGAGGGCAGTGATGGGGCAGTGAGGGTGGGTGGGCAGTGAGGGTGGGAGGGCAGTGATGGGGCAGTGAGGGTGGGTGGGCTGTGACGGGGCAGTGTGTGTGGAGGCTGTGACAAGCCTCCACACACTGAAATACCTTTTTATCCAGTGGCAGCAGTCCCTGGTGGTCCGGTGGGATCAGGGCTGGCCTTAGGTGTTCCAGCGCCCTGTGCGAGCTAATCTTGTGGCGCCCCCCCCCCCCACCTAAACATACACAAAGAGGAAAACAGTCTTTGTAACAAACTGTTTTTTAATTACAGATAATTTAAGTGCAAACAAGTACAATAATAAATAACTGGATTGACTGGTAACAATAATGTATATTAAATACACAGAACTCTCCACGATACCCGCTATAGACCTATCAGGTCCACTCCGACACCCACCCCGCACAACATTACATGAGAACCCGGGGGACACTCTAGCTACCTGCTCCCCTCAGGGATCTACACGTGAACACAAATAGCCCTCATTACCTACCGATTAGCACTATTCCCCTATACCAAACACACAAAAGGGCGCAATATTCTTAAGCCACGTAATTGTATGTAATTAGACCCAGTGTCACCCATAGCCAGTCCCAGTCCCCTGCCCCCCTTAATTAGACCCAGTGTCACCCATAGCCAGTCCCAGTCCCCTGCCCCCCTTAATTAGACCCAGTGTCACCCATAGCCAGTCCCAGTCCCCTGCCCCCCTTAATTAGACCCAGTGTCACCCATAGCCAGTCCCAGTCCCCTGCCCCCCTTAATTAGACCCAGTGTCACCCATAGCCAGTCCCAGTCCCCTGCCCCCCTTAATTAGACCCAGTGTCACCCATAGCCAGTCCCAGTCCCCTGCCCCCCTTAATTAGACCCAGTGTCACCCATAGCCAGTCCCAGTCCCCTGCCCCCCTTAATTAGACCCAGTGTCACCCATAGCCAGTCCCAGTCCCCTGCCCCCCTTAATTAGACCCAGTGTCACCCATAGCCAGTCCCAGTCCCCTGCCCCCCTTAATTAGACCCAGTGTCACCCATAGCCAGTCCCAGTCCCCTGCCCCCCTTAATTAGACCCAGTGTCACCCATAGCCAGTCCCAGTCCCCTGCCCCCCTTAATTAGACCCAGTGTCACCCATAGCCAGTCCCAGTCCCCTGCCCCCCTTAATTAGACCCAGTGTCACCCATAGCCAGTCCCAGTCCCCTGCCCCCCTTAATTAGACCCAGTGTCACCCATAGCCAGTCCCAGTCCCCTGCCCCCCTTAATTAGACCCAGTGTCACCCATAGCCAGTCCCAGTCCCCTGCCCCCCTTAATTAGACCCAGTGTCACCCATAGCCAGTCCCAGTCCCCTGCCCCCCTTAATTAGACCCAGTGTCACCCATAGCCAGTCCCAGTCCCCTGCCCCCCTTAATTAGACCCAGTGTCACCCATAGCCAGTCCCAGTCCACTGCCCCCCTTAATTAGACCCAGGGTCACCCTTACCTAGTCCCCTGCCCCCCTTAATTCAACCCAGGGTCACCCATAGTCCCTTGCCCCCCTCAATTAAACCCATGGTCACCCTTACCAAGTCCCCTGCCCCCTATAATTCGACCCTGTATTTTATGAAATGTTTTTTGGATTAAAAATAAAAAAATAAGAACAGGTACTTACTTTGAAGTCTGCTGCTTCCTCCCTGTCTGCAGAGCACCGGCCGCCGCCCTCACACATTGAGCGGATCCTTCCGCGGCTCTCTGTGATGGCGCAGCACTTGCACGCTGCGCCTGTGCGGCTGCGCCCCCAAGCTCCTCCTCCACGCTCCGGAAACCGCAGTTCAGCTCACAGACAATCTCGGGCCGGCCAGTGACAGAGCGACTGCGAGCTGTGTCGGCCGCCCGGCGCCCCTGTTGCCATGGCGCCCTGTGCGGCCGCACAGCTCGCACACCCCAAAGGCCGGCCCTGCATACCACTCACAGCTACCCACACGCAGACACTGACAGACTGACAGCTATACACACATTACAAAGCCTTAAACATCACGCACAGAAAGCCACAACATACAGTTCACACATAACTACAACACTTTCATCCACCCGACACAACACACACACTCACACCGCACATCCACTCAACTTTTTAAAAAATATTTCAATTACATAAAAAATAACATAGGGGAAGAATTTCCTGGTGCACACCCTAATAAAATGGGCTGCACATGCCTATGTGCACATGAGCTGCCCAGACAGACCCAGCAAAGAGCATTAATATGGGCCAGGCGGCCAGACTGATGTAGAAGCCGTCCCTCAGGGATTGGGCATATGTGATGTCATGACATGGGCAGATCATTTGGGTAGGACATTGTGATGTCACAACATGGGGGGTCGGCAAATACATTATTTGCCTTGGGTGGCAAAAATCCTTGCAATGGCCCTGTGCAGGTCCTGTTACTTCCTGGTTTGGTTAGCCCAGTGGAGCTAAACTTAAGATTCAGCAATTGCCCAGAGCACTTGCCTTGCAAAGACTTCTCATTGAGCAGCATTAAAAGTCTGTGATTGGACAGCCACAAAAAGTCTGGGCGGGGTTAGAAGGGGAGGCTTTGCAAAAGCTGCAAACAAGAAAACTGCAGATTTTGCAAGCGGTTTTTAGATATACCCTAATGAAAAAAATGTATAATCAAATGCAAATTGCAATGCAAAAGTGTATCAACTAAACACTAATTTTCATTTATTTTATATTTAGGCAGTGGAGTCTTCCTTTAAGCACATACAATAATTCTCTATGGCAGTCCAGGACAACACTGCACATGTGCGTGTGACATCATGGTATGCTATAGTATGAGAGCCAGTAAGTAAGATTCCTGGTTCTAATACCTAAAGGCCTTCTAATTAATTAAATATAATGTTTTGGGGGATATTAGAGGGGAGGCATGACTGCAGGTTCTATAACAACTTCAATCAAAGTAAGTTGTTAAAGTGCCTACAGTGTTCCTTTAATTCTGCTACTTAGTAATCACTGGGCTCTGAATCTGGGTCTTATTGACTAAACACAGAATCAAAGTGAAATAAAGCGTGAATGGCAAAATGTACACAAAAATGATTTAGCTTCAACATTGCAAATCAAATTTAGGTTTACTACAGTTTTTTGTTTAGTGAAGGAAACCATTAGTCTTATGAAGTATACATGCAAACAGTGAACTGTGGTGAAAAAAATCATTTCAAAATTTACATGGGGGTTTTAACTAAAATGAGAATTCAGAGTAAATTCTAAGTGAATTTCAAATTTAAAGCCAAATGAGTCAAACTGAAACCAAAGCTGACCTAGAGAATTTTTACAGATCAGCTATTTTAACCTTAAATTTGAAATTCATTTTGCACTCACTTTTAATTCTGACTTCAATGAATAACCCTGTCTGATCAAAATCAAGTTGGGAAAATACCTGAATTATCACATGTATTAGATTCTGCTATTTTGGCCTTAACCCCTTAAGGACACATGACATGTGTGACATGTCATGGTTCCCTTTTATTCCAGAAGTTTGGTCCTTAAGGGGTTAATCTAGAAATGTAGTCAGTACACCACAAATCACTATTAAATAAACTTTATTTTGGTATAGCTTAACCTGACTCTCACTTTCTTCATCTGACAAAGAAACCGATGTTGTTGCACAATCCAGGGTTGCATTGTGTTATATGCAGCCCTGCCTTTTGTTATTCTAGGTGCAATACTTTAGAGAGAATGTCTACCTGAATGCAATATATCACAGTTTGCATGTGTTCTATGCTATATTATATGTATTATTTTAACCATTTGTTCCGTTTGTCATATATTTTGCTAAATGTTGTTTGATTGCGAGCATGAACATTTGAACCATTTAAGTTAAGTAGGCTTGCAAGGAAAGAGTTAATCTTTGTAAAACATAAGTGAAAGCTATAATTAAGAGTTCACACTTTGATCTAATAAAAAGCCAACATAACACAGGTTAGGGTGTATGTTTAGGTGAGTTGTTATTATTTGTGGGATTGTTTGGGTTCTAAGAGCAGGGTAATTGTATGAGTGAGTTTCAGTAATGTTTCGTATTTGCGTCTGTTTGTGCAATAATGTTCCTTTTTATTAGTTGTTTTACAACCCATTTATCCATGTAATGAGCGTGTGATGCAGCTCTGGATAAATATAATAGCCCATTTCTTTTCGAAAAGACTGCTGTAAAATCAGATCATATTATCTTTTTATCTAATTTTTGGGGGGCAAATCTCTGTATTTCTTAAAAAATTCGCTTGGCTGTGTAGTGATATGTGACCCCTGCTTAAAACCTTCTGGTCACAAGGAAATCAGCATAACCTGGTCATGTGCTAACTGAAGCATTCTACTATAAAGGGATTAGTGTGGGCAGGGAAACTCTTCTATTTTATGGTTTAACAGGCGAATTGTAAAAGTGATCAGTTCTAGTCAGTAATTTGAATTGGCAGACTGCATCTCAAGGGAACATTACATAAAACTGCATGACTGATATTTTAGAGGTAAGTGTTTGCTTCAGATGAAAGGCAAGGGCTTTTCCAGCAACTGGTTTGGAAGGAGTGAGATGTGGTGGTGTCTTTGCCAACTATAATTACTAACCTTGATCTGCTATTAAATGAAATATACTTCTATTTTTATTCTGGATCTTTGTTAAAATGTGTCCTATGGATTTCCTTGGTAACTCTCTTCTTAGTTCATTGTAGGGCTTGTGTAAAATATATATATTTTTTTTTTTTTTTCCCAGACAGGTGTCTGTGCTGTAAGTAATTTTCTTGCGCTTTGTTTTGCTAAAGTACTTTAACTTTTTTGATCCCTTAATTAGAAGTCTGGGCTTACCATAAACCATAATGGAGTAAGTAAGAATTGGGAAGCTGACTCCCAGCTCCACCTACTAGGGTTATAAATCCTATATAAAGGATCTATAGTACAGTACGGAGTTGCACATGAAGGGATTGTGTAATAGCCTTGTGTTATGCTTTCTCTCTGTGATGCCTCTTTAAATGTCTTCAGACCTGCAAAGAAATGGGTATGTATTGAGCATTTTTAAACTGTTTGGTTTTTTTTTTTTTTTGTGTGGGGAGTTCCCCTCTATTTATCTCATTTTTGGGGGGTTTCATACAAACTGGTTGCAGAGGCTTTGACTAAATTGAAAAGTATTGGGATTTCAAATACAAGACTAAAACTGGAAACATTGTGGTGGGAGTTGTGTGATTTTGTTTGTTTTTGGGTGTTTTTTTTTCTTGGCATTTTAGCATGCAATTCGAATTCCCACTAAGTCATGTTGGTGACACATACCACTGTTTTGCACGACCCTTTCTTTCATACAAATGTTTATGATTATGCAGTTATGTTTAGGTTGTTATTTTAAAAAAAAATTATTTTTTCTTCTAGTGATGTATGTGTTGGGCAACATGTTTACCTACACGTCTTGGAAGGTGTGCTTACTTGTGTTCATCACACTTCATGAACTTGCATCAGCGCAGTTTCCTCGCCAATGTATCAGTCCCCAGATACTAAGTAGTGGAGAATGCTGCCCTGGGCTCTTTCCAGAACAGACACCAGACTCAAATGACCAGTGTGGCTCTACATTGGGTCGGGGTGCATGTGTGTCAATCACAGTGGATTCCAGGCCCCATGGACCTGAATATCAACTCGATGGTCTGGATGACAGAGAACAATGGCCAACACGTTTCTTCAATAGGAGTTGTAGGTGTAATGGGCGTTTTGATGGCTACAACTGTGGCAGCTGCAAACCTGGGTGGACTGGAGACAACTGCGATACACAAATTATAGTAGGTAAGAAACTTGAGGTTGCAATTTCAGGCTCTACAACTCACATGCCACATGTATAAACCTAATGGCTTCCTTCTTGGTAGAATGAAAGGCAAGTCAACCTAACAAAACTCCTATCGATAAAGCAAGCTTAATTACTGAACACTAACAGGAATGCTATCATTACTGTTCTAACCTTTACAGTTCTGTTGTCCAGTGTGTAAGCTATCATAACCTAACCAGAATTAATTTACAATATGCCACTATTATACCAGTTTTGGATTTTAATTTGCTAAAATGCAGACTATTGGTGAATACGCATGTCTCCAAACACCTTCGCTTATTTTGATTAAAACCTGGGGTGTTTGGAGTTTTGTATGGTGTTGGCTTGTTGAATGGAAACAAAACTGTTAATGGTGCAGTTACTTATGCAAATATATTGACCCTGAATTCAGAAATGTGAACAATCTTAAATTTGTTATTGAGAATGCCTTCCTGTAGATATTCCTGTAGATATTAAAAATCCAAAAGAGGCAATTGCTTAGACTTTCTCTGGTATTGTGGAATGCTTCTCCTAGAGATGTACTGGAATCAGTAAGGGTTGTGTCAATGTCTAAACTGACTGCACTAGGACAATGGCCTGTGGGAGGAAAAAACCTGTCTAGTTGTACAGGAGTTGTCAAATGTTAAAATGTTCACTACTTGCTCTGAAAGTATTTTAGCCATCTTCTCCAGCATGTCTTAATTGTTAAACCTTGTTTGTTCACTTATCTAGTCAGGAAGAACATTATGGAATTGCGTGACGGTGATAAAAAGCGTTTTGTTGATGCTTTGGATC